CACTAGCTTTGTGCCCTGAAGTCATAAGTTTCATAAACTCTGAGCTTCTTTTGTAAAATGGAGATATTACTAATTGTATAGGGTTGTTGTGAAGATTAAATGAAGAAGAGTATTTAGACCACTTAGTGGAATGCCTGGCATGTAACTGCTCTGTATATGTTAGCCAATGTTGGAACCCCAGAATAAATGCCTTCACTCAGCAATGTGACTTTGCATATGCTTGGTAGTTGCCTCAGGTTTAACCTGGTAGGTTGCTCTCTCTATCTGTAATTCATTATAATTCTTCTGCTAAGAATAGCCCTGAGTTGGCATGAAACTATAAATTATATGTAAACAATGTAATTCAAAAGTCAAAGTTGATTACAGATAGCAAAGAATCTGAAATTGCCTCTAGCAAATTTCAGACTGAAAAGAGAATACCTTCTACAGCACAGTGGTTAAGAGTTTCCCCTCTGGGAGGAGATTGCCCGGGTTTGTATTCTGGCTCCACCTTTTACTAGCTCTGTAATCCTGAGAAAGTTCCCTGACCTCTTTGTGCCTCAGAATTTTCATCTGTCAAATGGCGATAATAATAGCTATCTCTGTGAATTGGTATCAGTATATATGGGCATGGGACACAGATAGATTATTTATGAGGCTGTAAACTCCCTTCTGTATTAAAATGTAAAATAAGAGCTTATATTCTTGCTATATAAACATACATAGAAATTATTCCCTGTGAAAAATTATGTATTTCATATTTTTCTCATTTAACAGCTAGTACAATGTGCTGGTTAAAAGCATGTGCATAGGACATTTTAGATCCTATAAACAAAGAATGCGAAGAGCTTAGAACAAAATGCCGGGCACAAAATAAACACTATAAAAGTGTGGCTTTTTTAATCCTATGTACTTTGTGTACTATGTATGCTTTAGCAGCACTTTGTTTTTAAGGGAACTGTCTCCAGTTCAGTTAGTGCAACATAAGTCTGTGGTAAATTCCTAAACCTGAAAACCAGTTTTATCTTAAACTGCACAAGAAGGAAAGCCCCTCCCTCTCCCAACCCCAATCACAGCTCTTTAAACATAATTGGCATTTCATTTATAACCTGTTTGAGGACTTTTACGACAATCTAGCCTTTAATGATCTAGAAAAAAGAATTTCCTTCCTTGCAGAAATCTCTACAAGTATCCTTCAGGGGATGTCATTGATTTACCTTGTGGCCAACCTCTGTGGTCCTTTCTCTGTGTGTTGTCCCTCCGTCTTGCCTCTCCGTTTGACGCTGCTGACCACTCTGTCCATGCAGTCACCCCATCCTGGGCAGCTTCCCTCCCACTCGTCACTCCTCTGAACCCCCTGGGCAATCCTTCTGTCCCCTGCCCTCCCTGGGCACGTCCGCCAGCACCCAGCCCTCCGCCTCCCATCTCAGAACGTGGCCCCGAAGGGCTCAGTGACTCCCAAGCCCTCCTCCTCGTCTCCCAGCCAGGGCCCTGTCTGTTCCGCTCTCCTGGCTCCAGGCTACCCGCAGCCCTCTGGCGACGCCCCTTGAATTCCCCCTCACCTTATCACCGCCGGACTTTCACCCCGTCAAGGTCCCTTTTCCCGGAGTCACTGTGAGTCAGTGTCACCACACGGGGTGCAGGCCTGGGAGTCACCTGCTGCTGCCTCAGGCCCATCCCCTTGTGCCCCTTTCCAGACAAATTCCTTTTGGTTTCTTCCCTGATGCAGCCTCACTGCCACCTGCTCTTCTTGGTCAGAACCTTGTTCCCCTAGCAGCCCCCCGGGGAGACGTTCCTAGGCAGGTGCTCTCCTTCAGGGCGCCTTTCCCAGTGATAACAGGCTAATCTTCCTTTCAGCCAGTCTTCTACCCTTGCCAGACCTTTCCCGTTCCCACCACTATCAAGTACAGAGTCTTTTGCCTGGCTTTGAAAGTGATTTCCATAGTTTGTCTTTGAAACCTCCAGCCACCCCACGCCAGCTCCCTAGCATGTCTCCCGTGGGCCTGCTTGGACTGGGCACAGCAGGCCGCCCACCACAACCCCACACCACACCTTACATCCGCCACACTAGCCCTGTAGCTTCCTGTGCCTCCAGGCAGCCACTGCATGTACATTTAGCACTTTACATTATTGATATGAGTAATTTTACAGATTTGCTTTTGATTAAAATACTTATTTAGAGAGATAGTAATTCACAGGTAAGAAAATATGGCATAAGTTGTGAAAGTATTACTGAAGTGTTAGAAATTGTTGAAAACACTGCAGAATATTATGTTTAGATTCTGTGCTTAGTAAATGATTGTTGACTGACTGACTGTGGACTAGTTAACAACTCACATCTGTCTCTCTAGCAAATGGCTTTCACCCATTTCCCAACAGCCCCTTATGACAAAATGAGCAGACAGGCAATGTTCATGGCTAAGTTTTCAGCATAAGGTCAAGAGAAAAGTGATGGGTCAGCTGGGACAAATGTTTGTTGGTGCGAGGAGGTTGTGTCTGGCTGAGCTAGCTGGAGGTGGGGAAGTGACTACAGAGCTGGTGCTCTCCTGTCCTCCTCTGAAGTCAGAGAGTGTGGCCAGCAGCTCCTGCAGCTCCTGTGCTCTTCCTAGAACTCTCTCTCCCACACAAAGTGTAACAGGACAAGGGCAACACATTACACACTAAATAATTTTTTTTAAAAAGGTCAAAATTCCAATTGTACCAGAACACTTGTAGAAGGGAAGGAAGCTCTTGTATTTCACAAACCGATTCCTTCTTCCTCCTTCTCTTATTTTGGAAGCTTTAACAGCCACCCTCAGCAGCCCAACCCTTCAGTGGCTTCCACCAGCAAATTAAGCTTTCCTGCCCAGGCTCACAGAATTATAGGCCTCAGAGTAAACTCTCTGTGGGAGAACACAAATAGACTGTGGCTGGAGGTCTGCTTATGGCAGGGTTCAAAAAACCAAAATATAAAATGCAAAGAACTATGGATACTGGGAAATATGAAAAATGGATCCATTGTGTGCTGCAATTCTGATACAAACTACCCAGAGCCAGGTCAGATTTTTACAGGTTAAGGGCACAGTCCTTACAAGACTCTAGACACAACTAGGGTAGGTGTCTTGCCTGACAGTTTCAGCCCTGAGCAAGTTCACTATGGCTTCAGTGAGACTGAGGAATGACAATGAAACATTCTTGATATAAAAGGGTTCATACCCAGCTTTATTCTCCCAGCAATAGGTTGAGCAGTAGAATCATGTCTGCATTCAGCAGTCTGCAGGCCCATAATCCACCTCCATCTCTGCCTCTGCCCAGAGCACTGGGTGTAGCTCTTTATATACTGACTCAGTAGATAATAGCTCATTGTCAACAGGTGTGGAAGCATTAGCCTAGCAGTGGGCCAATTACATCACCAAGCAGTTTAGGGTCAGGTGAGGATAACTTCCATTTTCCCCACAGTAGACTATCCATACTTCTTACCAACTGGCTATGAATTCAGGGTTCACCATTAGCTCCTCAGGTTTGAAAGTTTGCTAGAACAACTTATGGAAATCAAGAAAGCACTGTAGTTGCAATTATAATTTTACTATAAAGTTATACTATAAAGAGTACAAATCAAGACCATCCAAATAAAGAGACAGACAGAGTGAGGCCTGGGAGGGTCCCAAGAATGAAGCTTCTGTGCTCTCAGGCCACATCACCCTCCCAGCACATCAGTGTATTTCACCAACCAGGCAGATTACCCAAGCCTGCATGACCAGAGTCTGTATTGGGGTTTCATTCTGCAGGCATGATTTATTGAGTCACTGGCAATGGGATTGGACTCAATCTCCAACACCCCTTACTTACAGGGAGGTTGGGAAGTCAGGCTGATATCAGGGCTCTAATTACATGGTGGATCTTCCTGGGGTAGCCAGTACCCATCCTGACACTAGTTAGGGCCCCACAGTGAATCACCTCATTAACATAAACTCAGATGTGGTCCCAGGTGCCCACCATGCATAACAAAGACACTCTATCACTTCTAAACCCTTAGAATTTCATTCTCTGGAACCCAGCACAAAGACCAATCAAGTTCTTTATTATACAACACATAGAAAATATAATAAAATTGGACTATTTTAAGTCACCAAAATGAAGGAAAAATATCATGATTTTTATGATGAAGAAAGTACTGGAAAGTCTCATTAGAAATAAACTGCCATTAAACATCAATAGAGTCATTTCACTTGTTTTTCACTCATTCATTTATTCAACAATAGTTATTGAGGACTTCCTATGCTCGTCACTGAAGATATACTATTATACTGTCTGTGTAAGAAAAAATTTATTTGTATTACATGGAAAAGAAGAAGAATGGATGAACTATTTGGATTGTTTATTTTAATTACAATCTAAGTGAACCTGATGTAGGAAATGGAAGTTCCTATGGCCAGGATCCTCACCTGACCCTTGATGATGTAACTGGCCTGCTGATAGGCTAATGCTTCCACACCCAAAGGCAATAAGCTATTACTGACTGAGTCACTTTATAAAGAGCTCTGCCCAGTACTCTGGGTGGAGGCAGAGACAGAGGAGGACTACAGACCTACAGACTGCTGGATGCAGATGTGATTCTAGTGCTTGAACTATTGCAGGGAGAATAAAGCTGGGTATAAATCCCTTTACCCCAAGAACATTCCATTGTCATTCCTCCATTGACATTCCCCGGTGTCACTGAATCCATAGTGAATTTGCCCAGGGCTAAAATCCTCAGGTAAGACACCTGAGGTCTGAGATAGTTAACCTTAATGTCAAAGTGATATTAAAAGAGCTCCCAAAGCACAAAATATTAATCATCACGTCTAGATTTGTAATGAATTGGGGAAAGTGGGAGATAATAGAAGACATATGTTGTTTGTATAACCAGAAGGCTGCCATTTTGTCTCGTTTTTATGCAACTTCAAGAAGTGCTTTGAAATGTGATGTTTTAAACTGTTCTTTTTTTGCTTTCCTGTAATTGGAGCAACATACTAATTTCTACAAGTTGTGACTACTAACAGAGAGCAATCACCTCACAGACTTGTACCGAAGAGACGAAACCATCCAGGTGACAGGAAACGGCCACGTGCAGAGTCCCCGCTTCCCGAACAGCTACCCCAGAAACCTGCTTCTGACATGGCAGCTCCATTCCCAGGAGAAAACAAGGATACAGCTAGCCTTCGATAATCAGTTTGGATTAGAAGAAGCAGAAAATGATATCTGTAGGTAAGTGGCAGGGAAAAAACGCATGTTAGGGTAAATTCCAAGGTGGAAGGAAAAGATGGATTTAAAATATCACATCAGACTTCCCTTTTTGGCCCTTTAGACCCGCTCAAGATATGCCTCTTCTTTTGGAAAAAGCCTTTATGTCAGTGGTACAATACAAAATAAATTGGAGCAGAGACTGCCTCTGCAGAGGGCCTACGAACCAGGCATAATTCACAGAAACTCATTCCTCAACTATCAGAGCCAGGCTGCATGGTTCCCAGAAAAAGAGTGAAATCTGGGGCCTCTATTTTGGCCAGGCCTTGAACAGGCTTGGTGAGCAGGTAGATGCATCCACTATTCCAGGTCACCTGCAGGGCATCAGGGAGCTCCGGCCCAAGCCTGCCATGGGCTTAAGCAGGTGTTCATCCCTGTGTGGCTCCAGCATCTGACCCAGGCTACTGTAACCTATGCACAGTCATCATTTCCCCCAGCACTGGGAGAGGCTGATGGCAAGGACGGTGTCAGGGCCGTACCCTGAAGTCATGGTCATAGGCCTCGAATATGTGTGAGAAGGGAACGATGGCGACCCCAGGGTCTGTCTGTCCTGGGATGGTCTGTTTCCTGCACTTTCTGGGTGAGCTGTAGAAGATGAACGCTGTGCCTGATAATCTTCTCATTTCTTAGCATATTTATCAGAGAAATCCCTGACTATTGTTCTTTGAATTGTCCGCTCACAGCCTGTTATTCATTTAATTAGCATATATAAGAGTTGGAGAGGATTTTTTTTTTTCCTCTCTGTTCTCTACTAAATGCCCTGTTTCTGGACTGCCAGTGAACCCCAGAACTGGTCAATCCTTTCAGCCGTTTATTTTCCTTTGAATAATAAAAAGAGGTGCCTTGTATTTAGCTGTCCTTTGTTGCATGTTTATTATGCTGACAGCTTTTATTATGTTTCCATTTTTTCAAGAATAACAGCAGTGACTATTACTTTCTAGTACCACAGAGGGTAATGTATGCCAGAAAGCAGAGACAGATACATGCAGGAAGATTCAGTTCATATTTATAAAGAGAATAAACTCCAGCGGATCTTATGTCTTTCCAGCCTTGAAAGGGAGAATTAATTTTCTGTGCTGGAGAAAAAGAAATCGTGAAAAAACAAAATAAAACAATACTTTCAAGATCGTTAAAGTGGCTCCCCACTACTGAGCTGGGATTTTGATCCTGGTAGTGAGTTATTTCAGCAGCCTGGCCTTGGCAATAGAAGACGAAGTTAGGATAGTTTCCTCTGCAGATCTTTCATCAGCTCTAGCTGTTCCTCAACATTTATGGAGGGACATAGAGGAGGAGTAAGAGGTGGAAAAGGGGAGAGGAAGCAGGGAAAGAGATAAGAGGCTTGTCTGAAAATGCTCCCTAAGAAACAAAATGATACTCTCTGGCTTCAGATCCAGAGGAAAAATTATGCCGATGTATTTTTTAAAATTATAAGTGACCATTTTTGTTATTAACGAAGTGTCAAGTGTACTCATGCTTCCTGCGGTAAATATGATGTATACGTATTTCATTGAAAATGAAATACGATTGATTTCCTACCATCTGTTCCCAAACTTCCTTGATGTTTACACTGTAGGATTTTATTGCTTGAATAATGATTTTTTGTTAGTGCTTTTCACCTTCCAAGCACCATATAAATGTTAAGTAAATAATTTACACAGAACCCAAGAGCTATCCAGCTGGTAAAATTGTATAAGCCTTCTTATTTTGCTCATAAGGAAACTAAGGCAAAGGACATAGGATCTCATAAATCACTGTCAGCAAAATTTAGTTACAATGTCATTGTGTTCACCTGCCCCTTAGAGTGCCCTGCCCAGCACAGTAAGAGCCCTGTGGTGCATGGGCAAGACCAGGAAAGCCGTTTTGGATTTTCTTCACACTCAATATGATGTTTCTTAGGCTAATTCCTTTTGACAACTGCAGCAGAAAAACAGAAGATGCACGTGAAATTGCTGCCACTGTTCACCCTGAGCGCACATCATGTGCACTGTGATTTTAGCATCTGAAGTCATTTGAGGAGAGGTAGTGTGGGAGAGTGGGACACTGATGCTCAGAACTGAAAGGCAGGTAGTTCAGGTCATCAAGCAGAATGTTCCAAGATCTTGGGTATCTGAAGATAGAATAAATGATGCAAGAAGATGTAAACTCAGTCACTGAAGATGCCCTATTATGTGATGGAAAGTTGGGATGGTTTGGGGACACTTTTAGAATCAGTGGTTATACAAACTATCTAAAGAGGCCTTTCCTGTCCTCTTCAACCCTGACATTGCTTCTCTGACCAATGCCAAAGGTGAACCCATGGTCTTAAGCTCATTCACACCCTGGTTTAAGCAACCCAGATATTTGCATTATTGGTTAGTGCACATCCCTTCCCAAAGTCCTATGCTTTCTATTATGGTGTCATATTTTATACAGTTCTTCCAAGAAAAGAAGATAATGATGTTTTTTTACCATTTATGTTTTGTAATGAGTGCTGATTCTATATGCTGCATAGATACAGATCATTTCTTTTCTAAAAGAAGCACTAAATGTGATAAATTAATTCAAAGTGGGAATTTGTTAGAAAAACTTCATATAGTAAATATTTGGCCATATAATTAGACCTACATATGAAATATGACAGTAGATTATACTTAACAAGTTTTTCTACAAAAGTCTTTATAAACTGGATGCTCAGAAAGTAGCCCATTTTCCTTGTTGATAAGGCAAAAGCCATGGCTAAATGAGCATAAGGGATCTTTCAGAATAGATTGCTGAAGTTTAAATTTGGAAAACCTAATCCAAAAACTAGCTTTCCTTTTAAAATCCCTGTGGGTTATAATTTTCATTTGGTATGGTGACTCATGAAAATCACATATGTTAGTTTTCTCAGTGAAAATATGAATTTCAAAGTCTACTTTGCTCAAAACTTGTTTACTTATGTCAAATTGATACTAGGTATGATTTTGTGGAAGTTGAAGATATATCTGAAACCAGTACTGTTATTAGAGGACGATGGTGCGGACACAAGGAAGTCCCTCCAAGGATAACGTCAAGAACAAACAAAATTAAAATAACATTCAAGTCAGATGATTACTTTGTGGCTAAACCTGGATTCAAGATCTATTATTCTTTTGTGGTAAGTAGCTTAACCACCCTGTGATTAAGAGCAGACACTGGTTTCATGAAGTATAGAGATCATTTTCTATGATTAAATGCAGTGGTGTGAGGGTGAATACACTTTATTAATTCTTACTTTATTAATTTCAGTGCTTTGTTCCTACCATATGGCCAGAGGCTTTAATCAAAGACTTCTTTAGTAAGAAATGCCATTCTGGATTTATTAAGTTAACCCTTGGGCCCACACATTTTGAAAAGAGGCATAGTAAATAGAAGATGTAAAATAATTTATAGGAAAGCAGATACTATATTTCTTTTGATTCAATTGATCAAGGTAAATGTACATCCAAGTAGAACATGTGTGAGAGTTGAACTTTTTGGTTCCAGAAGTTGTCTATGTAGCTGCAGTAGAGTTCTGATGACTTTAGTCTAAATTGTGACCCAAATTTTAGAAGTGGCTATGTTATTATTGTTGGGGAATCGTGTATTTTCCTCAGTCCTTGTCCCTGCCACAACAAAGAATTGAAGGGGAGAGAAACAGCAGTGAAGCAGAGTAAAAGTTTTATTTAAAGTTACTTAAAGTGAGAAAAAGTATGGCCACCTCAGCAGGGAGAGGCACCCTAAAAGGTTAGAGAGAGTAAGTTTAAGATTGAAAGGTTACACACTTAGAAAGTGCGGGCGACCCCGGAGAAAGGAGCACCCGGAAAGGCTGGGGGTTCCCACTTTTAAAGATTCTTTAGGAATGTGACTGAGGGCTGGGGGTGCAGACCTGTTGAGTGGTCACTGAATACTTTGAATTAACACAAGGAACTTCCTGCTCTGATTTCTCCCTGGGAATCCGGCGTCCACGTGTGGGAGCAGATCAAACAGGCTGCCTGCCCAGCCCCCAAGGTGGGTTGAGTTATTGTCTGTTTGCTAAAGAGTAAATTAAGAATCTTACATTTTTAACTTCCTGGGTATTGAAATACAATCTTTAAGATGGAATTTTTTCTTCCTTTAACTATGTTGTTTACAGCTGGGTCTGCATGATTAACATAATACAGACATGGGCTATGCTGACTACCCTCATTTACCTGGGCAATATTCAAACATTCCAGGGGCCAAGTTGCTTCTGGCTTTTTGAGCTTCAATTGATTCATTCTGGGTCTTTTTAGTGGACTTTCTGGCCTTTTTCTCTTACAACCCCACTCATATTTATTTTCCTGCCTAACCTAATCATAGAGTCAGAATTAGCAAGCATCTTCAAGATCATAAGGCACAACTCAGGACCCAAGAGTTCTTACCCTGTTTACTACATTGCATGCATGCATATTTGTGGTCACACATCTGATTAAACACCTCACTAGCCATTTCCAATCTTAAATGGTTCTGTTAGAAAATGCCCAACCTCTTTTTGAGCCAAAATCCACATTATAGTTAATCTAGTTGTTGGGTCATATAGTCATGTGTCTTGTTTATTCAGTTGGTCACTAATAAAATACTATAAAGTTCCTGCTCATTATCAGACACTCTGAGAAGTGTAGTAGATATAAAAGTAAGCAAGACAAAGTTCTTGAACCTCCTAGAGCTTTGGAGATGACAAACAGTTAAAAAGCAGTGATAATTGAGATTGTTGAGAAATACAACAGAAATGCTGGGTTCCATAGGTTTAGCCCAGAAGACACTCAGATGATTTTGCCGATCCATTACCTTAAATATCCCTGAATCCTTCAGCTGTCATAGCATATTGCCTTTCGTTTTCCCAGCAACATTTTTCATTCCATTCAGTTTGTCTCTATCCGTGTCCAAAGTGTGGATGCCAAAATAGAACACAGTAGCATAAATTGAGTCAATTTGTGTCTTTTTTCCTCTTGCAAGTTAAATTTAGAAATGCTTTTTAAATCTTTTTCTTTGCATTATAGTGACTTATTAAACACTAAGTGAATTCTACATCAGAACATTATAAATGAAAAAATAGCATGCAGTGACACTCGGTCCCATTTTAATTTGAAAATAATCCATCAAGCATGATTTACATTATTGCAAACCTATGCAGTGCTGCTCAGCATTTAAATTGAAGTGTGAACCTCGGGTTTCTGCATTTCTTTGCCTTTGATGTGTTCAGTGATGCATGTGTTTTCAATTGTTCAGATTTGACATGTTGCAATTGTAAAGGAAATGTTTAATGAGGATCTTTTTTTTTTTTTGCCTTAAAATATTTTGTGAAGCTTTGGTTATGACTAAGTTGAATGGTCCATAAGTGAGTTAGAAACACTCTAACTCCGATACAATGCCTTTAAGGCAAAATAACTCCTTTTTGTAGGAAAAGCAGTGCAGCTATAGATTTAGGGAAGAATAAATACTCGTGTTTGAGGTCTTTTGGATGATGGTGAGCTCATCACTCATTTCCTAGCCAGTGTTAAGTAGAATATTGGGCAGCCTCTGAGGTTTGGATGTGAACTGTTTGGCATCATTACACTCATTTATTCGTTCACCTCCACCAGTACATTCCATTGTGTGGGTTAGAAATAATGATAGTAGAACTCTTGCATGTATTTCTCTACCAGCCTCTTGGTCTGCACTCACTGAGAATAACTCCAGGTTCCTTTTCCTCTCAGTAGGATTCTGGCACTAAATACAATTGACTATGGCCAAAGTGCTTTGGTAGCTGGATTCCATAGGTAGAATGAGCTCAGCCTTCAGGTGGATACAGATTCTAGATCTATATGGATTTTTGATAAAACTCTTTCTTTTGATTCTTGCTCAACAGGGATAGAAGATCACTTTTGGATTGACCAGTGTATTAGGAAAATAATTTTGTTCATGTTTTAACTTTACTTGGAGAAACTTTAGTGCAGTGTTTATAAACTCAAGTATTACAGAGATTGGGCTTAAAACTCAAAGTGGGTCTGATGTAAGCAAAGAGGGAGGGAGCGGGATTAAGTGGCTATCTCTCTTTAAGTTATCTAAATAATCATTCTTAAAAGTCTTATGCAGGTCCACAAAACCTCAAGGGGTTCAAGGCAGCTGTTTTGCAGTGCCTACTTTAAGGAATGGTAGGTGCTAGGGAAATCTGAGACTTAGGTTAGTTCCTGAGGAGTCAAAGTGCTCTTGGAAATGGCAGGTAGATGTTGGGGTAGGTCAAAAGCACCTCCCTTCTCACATCTACCTTTCCTGCCTCTGCTTCCCATGGGCTATCCTTCCTCTTCCTACTTCTCTGACTCTCCAGGTGTACAAAGTCTTTGCCTGAGGCTGTGAGCAGTACGTGCCCAAGAGCCCTCCGCACTGGAATCAAATCTACAGTTTATGATCATAATGTTTTTGGAATACCAAGTCCAGTGTATATCTTTAGTCAATTTTTCACTCAGGCCAGGTGTGGTAGACCACTGAATGATACCAAGCTCACTTATTTTGGTTCTTATACTACATTTTCATTTGATGTGCTTAGAATTTAATCTGTACCTATCACAGGCACCCCTGGGGCAAAACAAAACAACCACATAGGACCAGAGTCTGCTGTAAAGCTCCTATTAGATTGGATAGGGTTTCCCCAGTTACTAAGGGTATGATATTAAACACCATTTAACACTTTAATGTGTTCAGTGATACATCTATACTCAATCGTTCATGGACAAAATGTGCTTGGCCTGCTGGAATAGTGATGGAAATGCTTCATGAAGATTCTCTTTCCCCTTAAAATATCAAGCTTATTAGTACTAAAGTATATACTTTTCATGAAGTTAATAATTAGAACTAGTGTGAGATTTTAAAATGATACTTAGCACTGTGCCTTGGATATATAGTAAGTGGTCAATAAATAATGGTGCTAATGATCCTACCCTTAGCATCATTAACTCTGTGTGTGTGTGTGTGTGTGTGTGTTTATGTAGTCTCTTTCCGATAAACAGTGTTAAAAAACAAAATTCAACTTAATAAATTTTAAAGATCTTGTTGGCTTTATGTAATAATTCATGAATCTGGAAGCACCCAATCTAGCAGAGAGGAAGGAGCTCTGAGGAGCTGTACAAAATGAAAGACTTTTATAGGCAGAAGGGAGCAGGGACAAAGAAGTCATATGAGGCAAAAATAGTGGGTTGGTTACTGAAAGTTTAGCAGGGGTCTCTCAAGCAGGTTGCCTGACTAGTGCTGATCAGGTGACTCTTGATTGACTGGTTTAAGATTCCATTTCTTGGGGGGCCAAAACCATAATTAAGTCTTGGTTTGGTGACATGGAGCTGAGCAAACATTACTCCACTTCGAGCCGACTGTTTTGTTTTCAGCAATGGTACTAACTGTTCAAGGGTAAGACAGGTACCTTATTCCTGTGCATATTCTCTACAGCGCCGAATGCATGGCTACGTAGTATTTGCTGAACTGACTCTTTCCTGATAAATTATGATTCATAAGAACTGCCTAATTTCATTTTTGTAATCTGTTGCTCAGCCTTCTTTCCTAATTTCACTCCATTGAGGAAAATAGGCAAACTTCAGAGGGCATAATTAGCAAGATGTGACAGTCTGAGTAAATTAGGCTTACCCACCTCAAATCCAGTTTGTTGAGAAATGAATGAATGGATTGTTAGGGTTTGCAGACCATTAAGCAGATTATTGGAAAAGTGTCCAGTTATAATATAAGGCTCCCAAATGGATGGTATGCAGAGAAGTCCACATGCCTGGGTATGAATTTCAGCTCTGCTGCTTCCTGGCTCAGAACTCAGTGTTTTTCATCTCCAAAATGGTGATAATAATTCTGCCTGATATTTAAGTAATCACAAGGATTAAATTAAACAACTTTGTAAACTACTCTGCCTACAACTTGTTACTCAAATATTTGCTGCTCTTATTATCATTGGCATTGGCATTATTGTTAATCTGTCAGATGACACGTGAACTTGGCAGTCTTGTACAAACAGCCCAGTTATTAGTGTGGGTGTGCACATGTACACACACCTCTGACCATAATTCACTTCCTTCATCTAAGGTAGCAGCATTTTATTGTACATTAAAACAAGTATAAAACCTTTGTGTATGTGTGTGTTTAATGTAAGATACATTGAATTCAAAAACTAAAAATTTAAGTCATTTGAAAACTATTCAAAACCTTTTTTGTCTTATTAACAAATTTTGCAAGTTGAGATGTGCTAATACCCATTATAAATACTTTCTAACTAAAAAAGCAGTTTTATCAGATCAGTTGCTTAACTGTACATTTCTGCAGTTTGAATTAACTTCAAGTGGTGCAGTTGAGATTTCCATTGAGATTAAAATTCTATATGAATCAGGGTTTTGCATTATAGATAATTATTTAAAATAGAAGCTAAGGAAGAAGATGTAAAATAAGAAGTGGTTGAGCAGGAGAGAAAAAAGAAATAGAACCAAGGAGTTGGACAAGATTCTCAATTATAACAACTTTGACAGGTTCTCATTTTGCTCCCCTGAAACTTACCAACTGATGAAAAAAATCAAAATAACGGTGGGCAGTTCATCCTTATTCCCCTAAGCTAAATTCTCAAACAAAGCTGGAGAATAAAGGACCTCATTCACTTTCTCTGTAAAATGTGTAGAAATTCCATCCTTTTGAAATGGTCAGATAAAAATCGTTGAATGTTCTGAACAACCATCACTGATGTTCTGGCCATCTCAGCAAAGACTGATATATAGAGCCAAGGACAGTCAAGGTGTGGGTGGTGATCGCACAGCAGGCTGTTTATCTCTATTCTTCCTTTCAAAGATGTCTGAGTGGAGGATTGGGAGCTATATGAGCTGTAATGCTGTTTATTAAATGCCTGCTGTGAGCTAGACCAGGGCAGTCCAGGGCCCTGAGATACAGCAGCAACAAAGACAGGCTGAGTCTCTGCCCTCACGATCTCGCCTGGTGGTGGGAAGAAACAAACCATAAACATACGTGAATAG